CAGAAAGTCATCATGGAGGTATATGTTTTTGTAGTGAAAAACCTTTTTTTGAAGCGAGCATAGGGAGCTTTTGCCACCCTGAAATAGCAAATGCCTTCCTATGGTTATCACCAGTGTTGCCAATGGACCAGTTCAAAGCCCCATGGTAAAGCCCAAACATTGCTGTTTCTGGTGACTATTAATAAAACTGAGAATCCCCAAAAACTCCACTAAAAAATTGTAATTTTGTCTCAGACTTGTTTTCTTGGTGCTCTCCTATAACTTCTCCAAACCTGAAAATCTGAATCCCTGTTACAAGGTTGTTAAGTCCTTCAAAGCTAAAATATTTGACATGTGAACTGGGAATCTCATTTTCCTGGGGATTCCTGCTGCTTGCATCTTTCTTAGGTTGTGCCATTGTCACAGCAGGGAGGTGTTAAGTGTCTTGATTTTTTTTTTTTTTTTCTTTTCCTGTTTCATTGAAGGTGAGGCAGAATTTTACAGAAAATGGTGCTTATTTAGTCTGGCACTAAAGAGTGGCAGGTTTTGGATTTCTTCACTCTGGGAGACGAGTCTTTATCTCTGCCCTAGACTATTCTTGCATTGCCCTAACTGCAGGAGAAAATACAAACATCTTCCTGGACTGTAAATGTTTCAGTGCTGGAGTCTCCTGGTGTCACCAGGAGACGACATAGGATACCATGCCTCCTTAAGAGGTCCAGGTGGTACATCACAAGCTGGGATTTGGTGTGTGCAAATGGGATAACAGGGTCAGTTTGTATGTAACATATGAAGATGTATAGAGCAAGGATGGCTCGCAGCAGAAAGCGCTATAGGTGCTGTGTAACTGCCAGCCTCAGTGAGGCAGGAGCACTTGTGAGCACTGTCAGATGTTTGGAAGTGTTCCTACAGCTGGGCTCTAGGTGAATGCCTGATTTGGGTAGATTCAAGCCTGTGGCCAGGAAAGCTTTATACTTGCATTTTTTTTTTCATTGGAGATCAGTGCCCTGACCCTGAGGCGCCAGCGTTTCATCATGTATTTTTCTCTTTTTTTGTAAGCTGGACCTTAGCCAAAACTTAGGATGGTATACAAGCAGGATACACAGAGTAGTTCACAGTGGGCTGCAAATGCACATGAAAATCCGGATGCCTTCTGAATCTTGCACTTTCAGTTCTTGTTACTTCGTATTTCTTGTTTCTTTTCTTCAAAGCTGCTGCTTTGGCCTCTGAAAGGCCAAAAGGTGCCAATTTAGGAGGGAAAAATATAAGTTTTGTAAAAGGCTCTCATGCGAAGCACAAACATCCAGCTTGAGCTTCAGCTGTGCGATGCTCGCTGCCATTTTCCATCTTAAGGAGACTACCAAGTGTTACGTGCATCCTGCCCACGGCTGCTGGGCTCCTGTCGTGCCTCTGCTCCTGAAATGACAACATTTTTTAAGTTAGTGATTTTTTGAGAAGCGTAGCTTCCTCCTTGTGACCACCAAGTGGTGCTCTGCGCTGCTCCTCACAGCAAGGCAAGCTGTTGGCATTTTGGGATGGGGAGGTTAAAACGCTGTTTTCAGAAGCAGGAATGAGCTAGAGAGGAGGAAACAAGTTTTTTCTTTACCCCTCGCAGCGGTTGTGCTACAAGGACTACATTATTCACATCTCTGTCCTGTGGCTGCGTGATGATGATTGATGTAGCTTGGTGATGATCAGACACGATAAGCACTCTTGGCAGTTTCAATTTGGGTGTTCAGCTTGGCTGCCTGCTAGACTTTGGAGGTACAGAGATGGCTATCTGCTGCTTCAAAACTCGATCCTGGCAGGTGTCTCTGATTTGGCTTGCTAAAATGGCAAGAAGCTTCTAAAAACCTTGTCCCAAACTATTTTTTGGGAGATAAATATCCACTCGCTGTTTTTTCTTGGCTGCTTTTTCACCCAGTCCACCTGGGGAAAACCTCTGTTCATGTTCCTCCTCTCCCGTGCGCCAGCTGTTTGGTGTCTTTGCTATTAAAGTTTGGAAATGTTTATAGCTGTGTTGCTCTCAGCAGAGGCAAAAGACCTACATTAACTTCTCTTTGCAGGTTTCCTGCAAGCGCTCTCCAGGTGCCGTTCTGAGGTTTACAGAAGCTCTGTGTTTTGTATGGAAACATGCGGCTTGATAAGAGAAAATTCTTATGTTGATGGGAAATGACGGGCACATTATAAGACAGAAACTGCCTATAAAATGTAATGGGAATTTAAGGGGCTAACTACATCCCTGTAAGCTCCATTAGATGCTCTGTGTGGTGTAATTGTTTGTGGGAGTGATCGTTCCTTTCCAGGTACCGAGAGCTGTGCTATGGCAGGATGATGCAGCTAAATTCAAACTGCAGCTCATTTGTATGAAAGGCAGGGCTAGAATTGAAAGGTGGCAAACGGGATTGTCTTGTCCGGTGAGCTGGAAAAACCATGCCATGCTTTAAAGCAGATCCTTGAATTGGAAGGAAAAGAGATGCCATGTAAGAGCACAGTGAATGCTGCGGTTTAATAAGGTGCAGTGATTTCTTGAGATATTCCACTCTGTGAAATAGAGGCCAAATGAAGGAGTACAGCTCCCCCCAGTTAATTCAAACTGAATAGTCACCAACTAAATAGCTTCCCCAAAGTTCCCCAGTTTGCTCCTCAGGTATTTTGTGGGTGCTGGAGTGCTGTTGCATCCCGCAGCAGAAAGGAGAAGGGTGAAATGTCACCTGCTTTACCTACAACAGGTATGATATGTGGCAGCCCCTCAGATGTCCTCCCTCGGCTGCTCCATCTTCTCCATCATCTGCAGTGTCTGTCACCTATATGAGGTACAACTCCAACAGTGATAAAGGGATATTGAGATAGCAAACGTTGATTCCAGTACTTAAAGGGGGCCTGCAGGAAAGAGGAGGAGGGACTCTTCATCAGGGAGTGTAGCAAGAAGATGAAGGGTAATGGTTTTAAACTCAAAGAGCATAGATTTAGATGAGATATTAGGAAGAAATTCTTTACTGTGAGGGTAGCAAGACACTGGCCCAGGTTGCCCAGAGAAGCTGTGGCTGCCCCATTCCTGGAGGGGTTCAAGGCCAGGCTGGATGGGGCTTTGGTGATTTCTTGAGATATTCCACTCTGTGAAATAGAGGCCAAATGAAGGAGTACAGCTCCCCCCAGTTAATTCAAACTGAATAGTCACCAACTAAATAGCTTCCCCAAAGTTCCCCAGTTTGCTCCTCAGGTATTTTGTGGGTGCTGGAGTGCTGTTGCATCCCGCAGCAGAAAGGAGAAGGGTGAAATGTCACCTGCTTTACCTACAACAGGTATGATACGTGGCAGCCCCTCAGATGTCCTCCCTCGGATGCTCCATCTTCTTGCAGTGTCTGTCACCTATATGAGGTACAACTCCAACAGTGATAAAGGGATATTGAGATAGCAAACGTTGATTCCAGTACTTAAAGGGGGCCTGCAGGAAAGAGGAGGAGGGACTCTTCATCAGGGAGTGTAGCAAGAAGATGAAGGGTAATGGTTTTAAACTCAAAGAGCATAGATTTAGATGAGATATTAGGAAGAAATTCTTTACTGTGAGGGTAGCAAGACACTGGCCCAGGTTGCCCAGAGAAGCTGTGGCTGCCCCATTCCTGGAGGGGTTCAAGGCCAGGCTGGATGGGGCTTTGAGCAACCTGGTCTGGTGGGAGGTGTCCCTGCCCAGGGCAGGGGAGGTGGAACGTGATGATCTTTAAGGTCCCTTCTAACCCAAACCATTCTATGATTCTGTAATTTTGCTGGATCATTGGTTTTTAACATGGTCTTAGATACCTGGCTAAACCAGCTGCTCAGAAGCAGTGTGATGGGCTCTCCCAGTCTGAGTACATCAGGAGGGAGCTTTTCTACGGGGCTGAGCAGACCTTCATGTAAATTAGATAGAGTGCATAAATACTATGGTTTAGCTTTTGTCTTGGAAAAAAATAACCATCAAAAAGTCAAAGCATGTAGTTATTCCAGGTACTATCTTTTCATGGTGGGTAGCTCCATTCGTAGCTATTAAATAGCTCAGATGAAAATTCTGGCTCAGGAAGTCCTTGAGTCTTTGGTAACTAAAAGCTGAAAAGAGACTGTGGGAAGACTGGATGTGTGTGTGTCCTGTTCTGGTGCTCAGCACCTGCGGTGGTTTGGTCAGAAGTAGGATGTGGGCAGAAAGTGCCTGTGTTTTAGTCCAGTGTGGTTGTTCTTGTGTTGCCATTCTATATTCTAGCAGTGAAATATGGCTTGAATAGTTATTTTTCCATGTGTTAACACTATAGTCAGCTTTGGGCTAAGACAGGTATCTGCTCTAGTGGAGAATCCACAGGGATTTCCTCAGTGTCACATTTATCCACTGTCACGTGAAAAGTTGGCTGCACTGCCTTCTTTCCAATACTCAGTTGAGTCTTCCTTGGTCATACCTTTGTCTGGTGTAAATCTGTTGTGACAGGAGAGCTGGAACAAACCCGGTGAGGATCACCACCATCACTGCTGTTCTCCTGCACCCAGGAACCGATCTGCCAGCAGGCATCAAAGCGAGATGCTTTTTCTGGAGGAGGGGACATATCAGTCTAATTGGGCTGGAAAGCAGCCTCCTTTCCAGAGCTTAATAAAAGTTAAAAATGGAACCAACTTCTTGCTGCCTCCAAGATTGGAAGTCAGGGAAATAGTTCTCACTTGAGCTGAAATTAGTTGAGCAGAGAGCACTATAATTATATATACTCAGGTATTGAACTGCACGTGCTTGTTTGTACTCCACTACCAGGAAGCAAAATTCCCACTAATGCATTTGAAAGTCTGAGGCAGCATGTCATTGTTCCTTAGCAACTTCAAACTGTGGTGAGCTCTTCCCAATTAACCCCTGGGGGTGTCTTTCCTGTTAGAAAGTTCATTCAGCTGGTCTGCCTTTGGAGAATTGGTGTCAGCTGGCTGTCTTGGTGCTCACCTATAGAGATGTATAAACCTTTTGTCTTGTGCAGTCTTTCCTGATGTTGCTTTTGTGTCTCCCTGGCCAGAGGGTGAGGAAGAGGAGGAAGATGAAGAGGAGGAAGAAGAAGAGGAGGAGGAAGAGGAAGATGAAGAAGACAAAGACGTAGATTCGATGGATGAAAGCATGGAAGGTGACACGGAGCTGCCAGGTTTCACACTTCCAGGCGAGACCTCCCAGGAGCCTATAGCTGGCTTGGAAAACCCTGTGGCCCAGCTGGCTGGGGTGTCCTACCAGGTTCCTGACACCATCGAGTGGGAGCAGCAGAACCAGGGTCTGGGTAAGAGAAAAAGCCTCTTCTTTCTTTAGCCTTACAGAGGACATGTCTCCTGCTCTTCGCCTCACATGGGGCAGCCCCTTCTGCTGGAAAGTCTCATGGGCTGGTTCTCAAGCTAAACACACAGCAGGTTAATTTCTGAAGAAACCTCATCCACCAGTGACAACTGGTTGAATGGGGATGGGTCCCAGGCAGAGTGACCTGAGTTTTCATTTTGGGGAGAGCTGCTCTGAGTACCCCAGACCTGCTCCTTCATTCCCAGAGCTTAGTGTTGTCATGCTGCAAGGGTGGACAAATAAAGTAAGTCTTTTTCTGACTATTAGAGAGCTAACTGCTTTGAGAGGTTTGTCAAAGAAAGAAACAATCAAACTTCTTTATATGTTGTGTTATAAGAACTATTGCTTAAATTCTGATTTAACCTGGCAGTTCTTCCCCTGTAATGCTGTTTCCAGACTACTTTAGCATTGTTGGCTTCCTTTGAATTGAATCAAAGAGTGTATTTCAAGATCTCTGTAGGAGGGTTGCTCTTTGAGTGCAGATTGACTTTGCATCAGGTCTGATACCTCTCTCTTCCACTAACTCTTGCTTGAAAAACATTGTATTGCATGGTTCCTGTGTCAGCTCTATTTCATGTGTCCTGTTGTCCCATCAGGCTGTACAGGAGCTGTTAGGGAGGAATAATTATAAGTGTTTAATGGCTTTATGGTTGGCTTTGGCAAGCTAGATTAGAGGTACGTTGCCATGCTTGGAGGAAAGGTATGTAAGAAACATAGGGTTATGATGGTAGTCGAGCAGCATTATTTTCTATATTCAGGGGTGCAGAAGGCTGGCTTGGTGAGCTTTATGTGACTGCTAGCAACGGTGAGAAGGTGGCATTAAGCTGTTGACCATCTAAAGCTCTTTGCCTGATTCAGGACCATAAGTACCAGGATGGGTGGCTTGGCAGAGCTTTGCCTCTGAATCCAGTGCCAGTATTGCTCTGTAAAGTGTTCAGGAGAGGCAGCGTTTTGCAGACTCTGACGTGTGTCCCCACACACCAGGCATTGCGCTGTGCAGTATGGAGGAAGATGGCACTGATATATTTTCGGGGATCTTGGTACATTTAACCATCTCAGCTAGGGTGGCTGATGGAACATCATCTGGGTTGGTCTCCGGGGGGCTCTGATGGGAGCCCTGTTCCCAGAGCGGGGTGCAAGGCCATGGTTAGTTTGTCTGGAAGGGTGCCCAGATTCTGCTGAAGATGCTGCTGTATATGACATCGTCTGTTGCCATGAACTTTGGAGCTATGGAGGAGATTGTGCTGCATAAGGCGTCAGGTACATCTCTGCAGTCATGGCTGTGTCTCCAGCCCAACCACCTTCACTGCTGGGGAAAGAGGCTCAGAGCAGGAGACACCCATTGGTAGATGAGGCAGATGAGAAAGCAGAGACCAGAGGCTGAAGCTGTCCCTGGTGTGCAGTAAACCTCTCTGACTGGAGAGGCTGTAATAATTGTGTACAGAAAATAAGGAGGCCTGGGCTATGAGACTCCTTGCCTAATAACACACAGAAAATAAGGAGGCCTGGGCTATGAGACAATATGTAGCTTTAACACTCCTTGCCTAATAACATCTGTTATGAAGTCCCCTTGCCTTGGGCAGAGCCATGCTGGGTGCAGTGTCTCTTCTGGAGATCTGTTTCTGAACGTATGGGCCCAGTTCCATTTCTAATGTTTAATATTGCAGGCTGATGTTTAATATCTTGCAGCCTTCATTGTTTACCACCTTCTATCTTTCTTAAAACTTGGAAAGGCCATCTTTCCAAAGAGTTCAGACGTGGAATAAATTGACTGTGTGGCAAAAGGCAGTATTTTTCTCCCTAACTTAAGTTTTATTGACCCTCATCCAAACTGGAGGAGCCCTTGTGAAGTCTGTCAAGGTAGGTCAACTGTAAAGCACTGAGTCCAGGCACCTGAGGTGCTGGGTGGACAGTAATTTCTGCGTTCTCTGGAAGTGAACTGGGTTACCTGTCACCAGATCCAAATGGTTTAGATTGCCTTTTATTTTTAAGCTGTTGTAGTCTGTGCAAGCAGCGGAGAGGGAGAGGATGAGGCTGTGGCTGAGCTGAGTTCATCTTTGGGAGTTGGATGGGATTTCTGTGCAGTAGAGCTGTAGGCGAGAAAAGAGGGGACATGGTGGGATCAGTCTCTCTGCTTGTGACTCACCTCTGTTATTCCACCAGGTAAACACTTACGTAAAGAGCCACTTATTCTTTTTAAAGAGCCATTTATTCTTTTTCTGTCTAGATGACCTTAATGACTATTTGATATTGCTTCCTTCCCCATCTAGAATGTGCTGATGCCCACAGTGCTTCTAAGAGGAAGGGAAATTGTTTATGTTTTTAGAGGCACAAAGAGAACCAAGGACTTTCATGAGCTCACACTGAACATCCGAGGCCAAGCAAGGAGCTGACCCCAGGTGTTTGAAGGGTTCATTTGCTGGCAGTGCATGGGGAATGGGAGATGCTGTCACATCTCTGTGGTGGTGTGGGCTCCTTTTCCCTGAAGTGCTGCTGGGGTAGTGCAGCCCTTCCCCTCTTCCCAGTTTGTGCCAGCTGGGAGTTTCTGCCCTGGTTCCCTGGCTCTGGGTGCACGGGCACACACTGGGCTGTGTCCATACCTGGTCCTGGTTACGTGTTTCTCTATGGGCTGTATTAGGCAGAACAGGTAGGGTGGAAAAAGCGTACAGCTCGTGTCAGCAGGGGGAGGATTGTTAAGAACAGAAGGAATCCCCCAAACTTGGCAGGAGGTCAGAAGAACTGCCCACATTATTCTGCTGGAGAGACCAGACTCACCGTGAAGGGCTTGTAAAGCTTTAAATCTGCTGGATGTGTGCGTGGACTATTTAGTTTTGAAACCTTTTTTTATGTAAACGTTACTCATCTAAAGCTGCCTCTTTGAAATCCATTTCTTTGAAGTGCTTTTATTCTAAAGCTAAAATTAACTTGACTTTACTTTTGAGAGGGCTTCGTAACCGCTGGACGTCCCCAGGCACTGTCCCTGGAGGGGGGGAGCCGCGGCTCTGGATGCAGCTGGGTCAGGGGCACTGTGCTCCTGCCTGCCCCAGCCCACGGTGTGTGCCTTTCTGCATCCCTCCCTTTGCCAAATAATGCTGAGATGGGAAGAATTTCCCATCTTGTTCAAGTGAAACATCATTTAGGGAGGGAAGTTGTTCTGCTTGACGTGGGATATGGCACAGGGAAGGAAGATAACAGCACCCAGCGGAGCACAAGACGAGGGTGCACCATCTAAGCACCAAACTTTTATGGTTGGCATCTTCCATCTTTAAAATACTTTGCACGTAGGTCCTTCTCCCGGGGGTGCATCTGTCCTCTGGCCTTCAGAATTTTGACATTTTACGCTAAAATCTATAGTAGAGAAGAGCCCCAAAGTATTGGAGTAGCTATTCTCAGGTCAGTTGTTATTGAGTTTGCTTGGTCTGATGGCTGACACACTGCGAGTCCCTAGAGAGCAAGTAAGTTGATCCACAAACAGCTTGGCAGAGCAAGAGACAGCTTGGATTTTTGTAGTGGTCAGTGAGAAAGTGCTGGAGAAACAGAATCATTAAAAAATGTCAATTCTGGGAAGTCAGATGGTCCTGCATTAACTCCAGCTGAGCAAAAGCAATTTATATGCACCAGTAATGAGGCTGTCAGTTTTACAGTCCATCAGCTGGCTCTCTAACCAGCAATATTTAGACAAAAAGTAAAGCAGAAGATGATATCATCTGTGCCTTTATAAAATAGAAATTGATCCTCCAAAAGCAGTTGTGATGGCCTGCATCTCTGGAGAGGGAAGGTCTGAATATGCTTTGGGGTCTCTTCTGGTGTCCTGTTCAAATGCTTTGTCTTCAGAGGTTGCCGGTGAAGGACATGGAAGTACTTCAGGACCTCTCTGCATTGTGTATGAGATGACTTTGACCTTTGTCTACTTGTTTCTTGATTTGTATGTAATAGGCAAACAGTAACTCTTTGGAGAGCATCAGAGTGGCAGGAAACTTGGGCTTTGTGGGAGTGAATAGAAATACATAATTTTTCCCTGCTACCTCTTTTGTGATTAAATGTTTATGCGTTACGAGGAGAACTGCACTTAGTTTAGATGGGTTCAAACCTACTGAATAGTTTCTGGGTCCTTTAGTTATTCCTCATGAATGTTAAAGTAGATGGTCTTTGTTATACATCTCCATGGAGATCAAGGTCCTCTGCTTCTGTGTTGGTGGTGGCTACTGTGACTGTGCTCTTCTCCCGCTTCTTAAGAGTTTTATTCTCCCAGTGTCTATGAGAATCTTTATTTTAACGACCATGAGCAAAGGCATAACTTTGTTTTGGAGCATAAAAATGTCCCCAGGCTCCCAAGCTACTTATTAATGCCGTAGTGCTTACCTATCTTCCATGTCCCAAGGGGAAGAACTCCTCCTGTCCATAGTAAGGCAGCAGCAGGAGGTCTGGGGCAATTTCCTCAGCCTTTAATTTTGCTACTTTGGGGTGTGCAGTATTTTGCTTTGTGAATTTGAAATGTCTTGAGGTGTTTGGAGTGACAATGACATTTTCATCTTGAGGCATATAAGGTTGTGACATTTTTAATGTACAGCTCAAGTTGTTCAAGCAGAGGTTGTTATGGTGGACTTTGGTTCTTTAAGATGCTGACTGAAACCACCAGCTGCTTATCTGAGGCCACCACTAATAAGAGATAACGGCAGTAAACAGAGGAGAGACTGACTTGAACCATAAACCTTAATAGAGGAAACTCCATTGTTGCGCTCAAAATCTCATTTTATGGGCAAAGAGGAGGCCCACCTCATATATAGATAAACCCAATAATTTATTGCTAATTGAAATCTTAAGAGTCCAATAATCATCTAATAAGGATTATTAAAGGAAAAGTTAGCTATCCTAATGCAGTTAGGATAGTTACACATACACTCCTTAGTTTCTGTGCTTTGTCCTGGTGTTGTGATCATCCTCGGA